TATGTTCATTTTCCTTAATTGCCATATCTATTAGCTTGATAAGTACGTGATTTTCATGGGATTTTGTAATGAGTTGGAGGATATCCTTATATTTAGAATTAATTATAGTTTTATCTTTGCCTATTAAAAAAAAAATTTTGGTTTGTATAAGATATGTTGAGACACTTAAGTTTCTTGATGACATGATAGATATTAAAGTTCGTTTAACCAAAGAGCTGCACTTATTTGTGATTTGTGCATACAGTGAAAGGGCAAGTTGTTTGACATAATAATCGTCTTATTCATTGTCGAGCCATAATCATGTTTACATCAAACTCATGCTGTAGGTGAGGTGGTTAACAAAAACCTGGGTGGTAGGTGAAGCTATATGAATAAAACATTCACCCTTCACTTTGGAGAAGTTAGATGGCACTTGGCTTGGAAAAATAATTGAGTCTATGATGAAGGTATTTCATTTTCTTCAAGTCCCCCAGCAGTTTTTTTTTTCTTTAATTTATTTTTTATGTGATTCACAATATTCTAATCTTATCTTGAATTCTATTTCTCTTTTGTTGATGTTTCTATCTTTTTTTAAACATATATAAGATGTTTCTCTGGTTGCTATATTTGTTTTCTAATTTATAGAGTATGAATTCATTTATCTTACCATTTGCACATCTGGTGTCATGGCCGGAGGATTATCCACAGAACCACTTGTCATGAAGCAGTCTAACTCTAAAAATGTCCAAAGGCAGGGACTAATTAAAATAAAAACAGGCATGCTAATTGCTAAGTGCTAACCCTGCTAATTCCGATGGCTCGTCATCAGTATAGGAACATAACACTTGCATGCATTAATAGGTCTGAGCACGGCTCGGTTTCAGTTAAATTTTGCACCTTTTATTTTTTTTTATTTTTTTTTTATTTTTTATTTTTAATTTTAGTAACCAAAACCTAACCAAATTCTTTACGGATTTTTTTTGGTTTGATAACTAAAATAATCGGTTTTAATATTTCAGTTATTAGTTATAATCAAATCAACATTGAATGCTATTTCAAGTTTAATAATAAATATACTTAATCAAAATTCAAAATTTTTAAGAGTATAAATATAACAAAATGCAAAAAAAAGATGAATAAATGAGAGTAAAATATAAATTTTGAGTTTTATTTTTTTACTTTTAAATATATTTTAAATTTAAATACTAAATTATGATCAAATTTATAAGGTAAAACTTGAAAATGAAATTAAATAAGATAGTTTTATATTTATTTATAATTTTTAAATAAGTATTGTTCATTTATTAACATAAAATTTTATTTTTTTGGTTATATATTCGGTTTCAGATTTTTAGCTCTTCAATCATTAACCCATTAATTTGTTTGATTATCTAGCTAAAATTTAAAAAAAAAAGGATAATAATTCTTTATATCTAACGATTGAATTAATTTTTTAATAATTTTTAGTTACCCATTTAGTTAACTGACTGTTTGCTAGCCCTATGGATGAAAGGACAAACCCAACACTCATAATAAGACAGAAGCACATCAGAGGGACAAAGCCATGTGAAGTCTGCCATTAGTAGATTACTAGATCGTATTCACCGGGAAAATAAGGTATCGATCAAGATTTGATCGTTACCAAATGTCCAAGTTTCTTTTGGTTGTTCTAAAGCTAATTTGTTGGCTGCTTAAATGTTTTTGATTAGGGTAATAATAGGTTTACCCTCATTATCTACACATTCTGTTACACCCTTCAATTTTCATTATTTTCTGTTAATTATACTTAACTCCGTTATCATCCTCTTCATCCATTATCTTCATCCTCTTTCTTTCTGCTTCTTCTTTTTTTTTCTTTTTTTCTCTCTCTCCTCCATCATCCTCCTCTAAGAGAAGCCAAGTCTAGGTTCTTCGGGAGAACCCAGATCCCTTTTCCTCCTTTCTTTTTTCTTCTTCTTTTCCTCTCCTCCCCTCTTCTTCCTTCTCTTCCCCCCTCCTTGATCTGTTGAGGAGAACCCAGATTGGGTTCTCAAGGAGAACCTGATCTGGGTTCTCTTGGAGAACTGATCTCGAGTCTCTAGGAAAATCCAAATTGGGTTCTCCCAGCTCTGGGTTCTGTTGGAGAACCCAGTGGAGAACTTGATCTGGGTTCTCTAGGTGGAGAAAGAAAAAAAAGAGGAAGAAGGAAAAACATGAGAGCGTGGGGCCAAGCAGTGGGAAGATCACGACCATTTGATGGCCAAGGTGGCAGAAGAGGAAAGGAAGGATCCACAGCTGCAACGACAGGATCCAGAGCAACTTGCTGCTAAAGCGATAGTGGCTATTATTGAGGTATTGTTCTGAATAATGAAGATTGTTGCTGCTGTTGCGACTGCATTGGTGGCTTCTAGAGTAAGGAAAGCAAGAACTCGCCGTCGTGATATTGGCTTCCTTAGAAGCCGGCGAACCAAATCGAGTTCCTACAGCCCAAACCGAAAGGAGAATGAGCAAGAAAGGGTTGCACTAGTGTCTTCAAAGTTAACGGATTAAATAACGAAGTTAACAGATTAAGTAACGGAGTGAGAATGTGTAACGAAGTGTGAAGGATTGCGATGTGTGCCAATCATTGTCCTTTTGATTAATGGTGCTTAAAATGTTGAACAAATCCATATGCAGGCACTACAGTGGATGGTG